TGGGGAATTCTGGGAGTTGAAGTCCACTCATCTTAAAGTGGCCAAGTTTGGACAACACTGACTTAAGTGGTTCTTTTATTCTACTGTTTTGCAGATACTGGCTTGATTACATGTTTCACTCTATCAATTCCCCTGGAAATACGCTGGGAGGGCAATATCTACGTTTGTCAGATGGTTTATTCATTTATTTACTAACAGGACTTCTATGGCCGCCTATCGCATACCAAGACTCACAATAATCCATAAAACATAGCTAAAAAGATACGCTTCCCCCCAGGAGCCAGACCAAACATCTTTCCAGCTCAGCCCCCCATCCTAGCCCAATGCTTGGGGGAAGAACTGGGCCTTCACAGCCCTCCAGAAGGCCCAAAGGGTAGGGATCCCTCTGATAATAAAGTGAAATGGGTTGTCTGCTTAGATACAAGTGCTTTATTTATTTGGGTGAAGGATAGCAAGCAAAATACAATAAACAGAAGGAAAAAAATAATACAATAGTGATTATACAGTAAAAAAAGTTAATACATAACAGTGATTACAGAGAACTAAAACAGAAGAAGAAAAGAAAAATTGATCCATAGAATATTGAAATAGAATTAGCTGCAATCCTTTAATGTACAGCTAGTACTCACTTAATGATGGCAACTGGGACTGAAGTTTCCATCACTAAGCGATGCGGTCATAAAGTGCGACATCGCGTGACCACGCCACTTAGCGAGGGCATTCCGGCAGTCCCCCATTATCGTCGTTAAGCAAATCACCACAGGTTGTTAAGCAAGGACTTCATGTGATCACGACTTCCAACTTCCTGCAAGCTTCCCCACTGACTTCGCTTGTGGGAAGCCGGCGGGGAAGGTCGCGATCATGTGACTGTGGGGCACTGTGATGGTGGAAATTCCGGCTGGTTGCTGAGCACCCAGATCACAATCACATGACCATCAGGGCACTGCAATAGCCGGAACTTTGAGGATTGGTCATAAGAACCATTTGTTCAACCCAGTTGCAAGTATGAACAGTCACTGAATGAGTGGTTGTTAAAAAAGGACCACCTGTATTGATAAATCCCATATAGAAAAAAATGCTTCATTGTGTCATTTTTACAATCTAAAGACATTTTGTCATTTCAAAAGACAAATGCCCTCCTGATGCTTGCTTGGATATTGCAAAATAATAGACGTATCTGCCAAAAAAAGTCAAGATGGCGCCACAACTGTGCAGTCAAAGCCCTCCCTCCTTTTTATGTGTGTTGTGATATGAGTGTATTGTCTACCTCCTTCAGATCAGAACTGCTAAATTTTTCCTCTTATAGTATTATTAGTATTTAATACTTCTCAACTCATTCATGGGTGTTGTTTTGTTCAGGAGAAGCATTCCCTTTTTGCTAGATTCATCCATTGCCAAGCAAAAGAAATTTAAGTGCCAAATTTCACAGCAAAGCAAAACATCACAGTACAGTGAATTGGCACCACATTCTCTTACATTCCAAAACAGTACAATTTTCTTAGCAAGTAAAAACATGTTTAAATATTTATTTAGCAGGAGGAGGTGGTTCAGTCTTGTCAGCTGGGGCATGACCTCAATTCCTTTGGGTGGATTTCTCTTCCACAAAGGCTGAGTTAGCACATGCTTAGGCTAGGCTAAAGTGGGAATTGGTGGCTTGTGGTCAGCTCTAAAGAAGAATAAAAGACAGTCATTTGCTTGTGTTTCTAAAGCTGGGAGTTTAATCTACTCCCACAGCTTTGATTGATCAAACCCTTTCACCCAATTAAATGGGTTTTTAAGCCCTAGAAAGACAGAAACTGGAACATAAGGAAAACTGATTTGCCTTGACAGGGAGACAAATTAGTCACACTATTGGACCATGAGACATTTTTAAATGTAATAGTCATGGTTGCACAAAACTCTAAACCCCCACAACCAAATAACAGGTGTCCCCATGGCACCATCTTAACTTCTCCATTTTTGTTCAGGTATGTCACCAAGGCTGAGGGTCTCTGTGTCATCCAAATCTGGTAGCCATTATTTTGGGTTCATGGAAAACAGAATTTGTAACTTGTAAGTTATTTTTTTTTAAACTCCACTTTAAGCACAAAATGGCAGTCACTTCAGGCTCAGACGACATGATGAAGCCTCAAAGCTTGGTGAAGATTAAAGGATGGGGAGAATTAAGATGGTGCTGCACGTGCTAATTTGTCTTGTAAGCTTAGTATGCCATGCCAATACAGTCAAGAAATAGCTTTGGAGAGATGAAATATGCGGTATTTATGGGATACATTTATTCTAGTATCCTGATACTCTTGATCCAATCTTGCTTCCTCATTTCAACCTTGGAGAAAAGCTTCCATTGCACCAATAGAATAAGTTAAACATCAAGTGGTAGGTCAAGAGGAAAAGAATCAGGTGTTATAAAAATAGATTCTTAATGCCCTATGTGGTTCAGATACAAATCCTTCCTCAACTGTCTGAAATTATGTAAACGTATGACTTCTGTACTGTTTATCTCACATAAACTAGAGATTTAGTTCCAAAATAGGGCTACTGTAGATGGATATTTTCACTTCCTCCTGTTCTTCCCCCTCTTTCTTTTCCTCCACTGTTTCTACTCCTCCTCCTCTTCATCCTCCTGCATTTGATTCTATCAACTTTCTCATGTGGAATTAAGCTTCTAACCCCATAGCCTAATATGGGGTTAGATCACCTGGCCTGCTGCTGTAGAAATTCCCTAATCAGCTATTTCTGCATCTCCCAGGCTGAATGTGAAGACCAACCAACAATTGTGCTCTGTTCCTTCCTTGCTTCAGCCTGAGTAGAGTGAAGATATGCCACAGGACAGGTGGACTTTGATAGCTACGATGGATGGTAGTCCAGATTAAGGAAACAGCTAGAAACTATGAAGGATAAACCAAGGTTAAACCTGAGGACTCTTATTCATGTATCCCAAAGCAGTCAAATCTGAAAGGAATTGCATTCATTAACTGTCAGGCCTAGCCCATGGAACTATGAACAGTCACTGAATGAGTGGTTGTTAAAAAAGGAC